CACGCACACCCCCCAACCCCCCCACCCCCCCCCCCCCCCCCCTCCCACCACACTGTATACATGCTCCACACACAGCCCAGACAGAAAGAGAAACAAGACTAAAACACACAGGCTCCCTACTCTTAGGGCACAGGCACAAGGCTGAGGTGTAGGTGCCCTGGTTGTCTACAGTGCACAGACAAGCAAGCAGCCTGATCCCCATCTCAATCCCAGTCAATTCAAGGAGAACCTCCAGGTGCTAGAGGGACATGGAGATTAAGGGTCGGCCAAGAAAAAACAACTGACCAACCTCATGGAGTGATTAAACCTGTGCTGGCAATCCCAGTGTTGCCCTAGATACCACAGCTCACTCCAGAACCCACAGCTCACTCCTGCTTCATCTTGACAGCTAACATCCTTGTTCCAATTCTCTAAGGGGCTCCCAAAGCTACAAGTGTAAAATGAGCAGATAGGAAAGACCCAGGGCTGTAGTGGGGAGTTCAAAGGGGCCCCATCCAGCAACCCTAGTAGGGGCAGGATGGGGAGGGGAGCACAGAGTGACCATGAGAGCAGGCTGTGCCCAACTCAAGTGAGAGTGGTCAGTGGAGGGCATTACACAGGTCCTCACCAGCCCGCCAGGGATGGAGCAAAGGGTTACTTGTGGGGGGCCGGGGAGATCTGCAGCAGCGTGGGCGAGGTCTCCATGATCCTCACCAGCAGCCGGTCAATGTAGCTCTCCAGCTCCTGCACATGCTCGTCTCTCTGGCTCAGCTCACGCTCACGCTGCAGGAGCAGGCCAATGAGCTCGTCATGAGTCAGGTGATAGTACTTGGCTGACTGGTCCAGGAGAGCAGAGTCCTATGGCCAGACAAGATGGAACTAAGAAGGGGAGACGCAGACCTTCCACCAAAACCCATTTCCCCCCTGTAGAGCCCCAGACTCTGGAGCAGCCCATTTTTAAGGCCAGAGATACCGTACCCCACATCAGAGCTGTAGCATGAAGAACTACCAGCTACCTGCTCTGCTCTGCTCTGCCCTTCAACCTTACTTGGCCTCTCGCCATCATACCACCTGTTCTCTCAGGTGCCTCCTAACACTTTGCTGGGCCTCACCTTCAGCCTCTTCGTGTCCACAGTTGGGCCAAGCTGTGATGCTGGAACCACAGACTGGATGCTGCCAGATGTGACAGTTTTGAGCTTCTCCAGTCCGCTGCTAAGGGCTGTGCTCAGGCTCGTGCGGGGATGTTTTCTATCAGGGCTAGGCTCCACAGGGGCAGCGCTGAGGGGCTTCACAGGATGGGGACTGCAAAGACAAACAAGAGGTGAGCTGAAGGGTAGCCCAAAAGGTGAAGTCACTGTCTGCGTGACCACCTGACCTGGCGAATAGCTGATGTCTCCAGGACACAGCACCCTGCACACCTCACCCCACCAGCTTCAATCCAGCACAGACAACTGGCCTGTACCTGTACCCTGTCTTTGCCAGCCATTTCCCTTCCCTCATCTTCTCTACTTTCTCAGTTTCCCAACTGTCAAGACTGTGGGTATGAGAATGTCAGGGTTAAAAGCAGGACAGACCTATACATGTGGCGCTTCCTCACCTCTCTCTGCTGCTGGCTTACCATAAGCCTCGGGACAAGCCTCTAAAACTCACCTTGACCTTGACCCTTCCTCCTCTCAAAACCCTGCCCAGAGCCTGGGGACTGCCTTTACTTTCTAACTTCTCACTTTCCTTGAGTACTCAAGTCGAGACCTCAGTGCTGCTAGCCCAGCTGCTGGGTCCTTTCCTTCACCTCTCAGAGCTCACAGACACATACTACTCTCCCTCAAGACCTGAAGCTAGTGTCCTGACCTCTACCAGCCTCTTCTCAGGCTAAGCTGCTAGCTCCCTGGCTTCTCCTCTCTCCTGCTGGACACCCCGCATCTCCCCAGCTGCAGCCCAGTTGTTATCTCAAGGCCAGCTTCGTCCCTGGGGTTCACCTAGTTATACCAAGTTTCCCTCACACCTGCTTTTTCCAGCAGCAGCCCTCTGGTAGGCCCTAAAACTTGTCCTCTTCTGCCTCAACCATCCTCTCCTCTCCTAGCTACAGCTGCCCTCCAACCACTCATCCTGTATTCTGCTAAAGGATACTGGCTTTCCAATTCTGAAAATTCTTCTAATGGCTCCTTTCTAGGTAGAATCACAAACTCTATGGCAACTTGGCCTCTGCCGTGCCTCCTGGCCCACAGCTTCGATGATCTTTTGACCCTTACAAAAACTGTTTCTAGCTAAACATGATGACCCACATCTGTGCAACTACAGAAGTGGAAACATCAGGAGTTCAAGGCCAGCCTCCATTAGATGAAACTGCCTCAACTACAGTGCCCCCTCCACCAAAAAGAAAAAGAAAAAAACGGTTATTTCTCTACCTGGGGTACTTCCCTTCCTTCTGAAAACCTAGTTCTCACTACTATTTCAAACCTATGTGCAGTCATCTTCTTCAGGAAGCCTACTGATTCCCTGAAACTAAGGTAATCCTCTTCTGGGGTACCTGGGTGCCTAGTTATGCAAGGCCTAAGCAGCAGGCCCACAAATCAGCTAACCTGACCTGGGGGAACCTCATAAATCCACTCTCACCCTACTGGGGCTTCAGGCCTTCAGGCAATGAATGGGAAGCAAAGCCACTTAGTCTCAACCCCAACTTAGGCTCAGGCCAACCCCAAGAAATAGCACAGCTCCTTAAGACAGGGCTGGTGTTTATTCTCACAAATAAGAAAGCATATCAAGCTGCACACAGGGCAGAGCAGTCCTTTCAGCTTGGGGTCTGCACTGGAGATTGTATAAAAGTAGTTAGTTCTAAGGCCATCTGTCTGAACAGCCACCCTGGACACATGGAGGTACCCCTGAGGAAGTAGCTATTGTGCTGGGCTCTCAGCCTGATCCCCATTCATCTGAGAAACAGAGACAGTACTATGTGCCCACCACTTCACAGGGTAAGGTCATGCTCCACACAGACATGGAATAAAAGCTATTCTGGAAAGGAACCCGGTAAGTGGTGAGTATAAATAGAGGTTATACTGCAAGACATGGGCCAAATGAAGATACTGTCATCAGGAAATGAGGAAACCATAGCCACCAGCTCCTTCTCCCCATGGGGGGCACAGCCCCATCCAACACTGGGGGGGTCAAAGTCCCTCCCTGACCTGATTTCTTGGGTGTCACCAGCAGGCCCTACTGCTTCCCTTACTGAAATCTCCCTGCTTACCCACCTGGACTGGGAATTCATTGGGCCTGGCACAAAACAGATAATCAGCAACCCTGGGCAACTGAACATATGAGCCAGCAGGTGTCTGAGCAGACTGGGGGCCTCACAGAGGCCAGGGCTAGATCCTAAGGAGCACCCCACCCTCACCACCTCACCTGGCCCAGCTGCTCTGCTCACACCACCTTCGTTCAGGACCCTATAGCCTCACTGTCCCACTGGGCTCTGGTGTCCTTGCTGAGTCACACTCACTGAAGCTTGCTCTCAAGCCCTCTGCTCTCATCACCCTCGTCACCCTCTGGTGGAGTATGAAGTTGTGGCCCCTCTGTTTTGGCCAGAGCCTATTGCCATTGAGACCACAACCACACAGGCATCAGCTGTCCACTCTGCTGCCCTAAATGGATGGGAGCCCAGCCCAGAAAACCACCAACAAGGCAAGCCAGAAAGGCACCTGCTGCAGCTGGAGAGCCTTTTCCAGGGGCTATGGGTGTGGAGAGCATTGAAGGAAGGCTTGCTTCCCTTTTTCTAAGACTGTCTTCAGCTGCTTCTAAGGTCAAAGTCCTAGACCCTCTCCCAGGCCTCTGCTTCCTCAATCTGTCTGGACTGGAAACTGCTGTGGACCCAGTGCTACCTGTTAACACTCCCAAGGCCTGAGAAGCATCACCCCTCTGTGGAACCCCACTCCCCCAACCATGGCATCTCTGTACAGCACATGCAGCTTTCACCCCCATCTCCTGCCAGGGAATGCTGACTCCCCCGAATCTCAGTCCTCAACCCCTATCCTTGTCAGGGGTTATTTCCCAAACCTCCGGCTTGTGGGGCCACCCTGATGGTGCAAGGTCCTACATACAATAAACAGTTTCAGATCTGGTTCTACAGAAGCTTGTGACTTCAAAGCCTTAACCACTAGCCTCCAAATAGAGCAGACCCTTATCATGTGCCCTTGGCAAAGATGTAGCCAAACTATGAAACACTTCTACCCGTATGTCACTATGCCCCTCATCCCCCCTTTCCTCCTGGGAGGGGTTCTGAGTGGATGCTCACCTGCCACTGAGCTGGGGCTCCTCAGCTGGTCGTGTCTCCAAGGGCAGAAGCGCAAGCGGGGAGGCTGGGGTGGCTGCAGCACGGTCTTCCCCATATGGTGTAGGGGAGCCCCCAGTGGGGGAGAACTCAAGGGGGCCAAGGGGTGAAGCTGACTCCTCGGGAGGTGAGGAAGAAGAGGTCAAGGGCCAGGCTACAGGCAGGGGAGGGCATGGAGGGCCTGGTACCCCATGGCGGTGGCTGGCCCAAGGTGGGAGAAGGGGAGGTGTGAAGGCAGGCTCTGGGGGTGTGGGCAGCTCTTCTGGACTGGAGTGGACAGGGGACTCCCTTGACCCTGGTGGTGATGCGGATGGGAGGCTGGGGGGATCTTGGCTCTCCTGACGTAAGAAGGGATTCAAGGCATCTTCCTCCTCCTCTGAGGCCCACAGATCAGCCTGCTGAGGAGTGGCTGACAGAAGCTCAGACCCCTCTTTGGCTAGCTCCTGGCTCTGGGTTTCAAGACTCTCACCTGTATCTGAAGCCCCCCAGACCTTCTGACTCAGAAGAGTTGAGCTGGGTGAGCTACGGGATCTGGGGATGGGCCCCTCAAGACAGCTGGTGGGACTAGGTGGAAAGGCCCCAGACCCAGGAGCACCAGTATCTCCGACCAGCTCTTCAAGTTCTGGCTCACCCATCAGGGTCCCAGAGGGCAGGCTGTGCAATTCCTCCAACTCTGGATTTACCCCCTCCTCCTTGGAGTCTTGGGAACCAACAACCAATTCGCGTGGGGTGGTGTCTTCTTCTACCCCTGGCCCCCCACTATTCTCTTCCTCCTCTTTTTCCTCCTCTTCCTCCTCCTCCACCTGGGAATTTGTGGGTGTGAAGAGGCGTGGTGGCTTGGGAGGTGGTGGGCCAGGCCATGGCCCCTCATCCAATCCCTGCTCAGGCTCTAGCTCCAACTGCAATGCAGGGTGCCCCTCGCTCTCCACGGGGTGCACAGCAGCTGGGGATTCAGGCTGCACCTGGGGAGGAGGCACCTCATCGGATTCTCCCTGCATGGTGGATGAAACAACCTCTGCTGTAGGAGAAATGGTGATCACATCCCAAGGCCAGGAATCCTCCACTGTGTTCAGCTCCTGGAAAAGCTGGCTTCCATCTTGGGGAGTCTCCTCATCCTGGCCCCCAGGAATGTCATCTGAACCAGGAAGTCTCTCCCACACACTGAGCACTTCTGGGGAGCTGAACAGAGATGTCCCACTGTCTGCTGGACTCTGCCCCGCTCCCACTTCTGAGGCAGGAAGCTCCCGGTCTGGTGTTGAGGCTGAGGCTGGGGCTGAGGCTCGCAGGTGCAAATGGGCTGCTCTGGAAGATGGGCCAGTCCCTGAAGACTCAAGGGGTCCTGGGTCAGACACACTTGTGCTTGCCTGGTCCAGGCCTGAGTCCACAGGCACCCTGGGCTCCAGCCTTATGCTGCTTCCACCTCTTCCTCCCCCAGATTCTCTCTGGGGCTCTGTTGCTTTCACTGCCATGGTCCCAGAGCCTGGGTCTTGCAGCCCATCCTCCTCCAGCCCCATTTCTGTAGGGGCCAGAATCTCACTCCCGGCCTCTGGCTGCAGCCTGCCAGCAGCAAAGATGTCGAAGGTGTCGTCCCACTCAGGCAGGGCTTTCCCAGGGGAGGCCAGGGGGGCCAGGCTGGCCCTCGAGGCACTGGGGAGAGAGGGAGCAGGTGAAGGAGAATTTAGTGCTATGTCGGCTTTGAGCTCCTCGAAGAAGGGGTTGCTCTGCAAGGAGGTGAGGAATGGATTGGTGACCCCCAAGAATCCGGATGGGGTGGCTCCAGGGACAATGGTGGCAGCAGCAGCAGTGGCAGCAGCAGGGGAGGTGGCTGCAAAAAGGTTAGTGCTTAGCATGGGAGCAGCGGCGGGAGCAGGAGTAGGGGGGGCCAGAGCCCAGGGGGAGCAGGGGTGAGGAGGAGCGGCTGGGTCAGATTCTACCTGAGGAGACACGTCCAGGCTGTGGAGAAGACAAAACCATGAGCCTCCTGGTTAATGCTGAGACTGGAAATATCCCTGACAAGTACCATCCCAACCCCCACCTCCAGGCCAGGTGCCACACCATCACACAGGCTAAATGCAGCCACATGACCCAGGGACCAAATGAAGGAAGGCCCCAATATTAAGAGGCACCAAAGGGAAGAATGCTGGGAGAGCTCATGGGCAAAGACAGCACTAAGAGAGCCGAGCAGGGTGCCTGGGACTGCAAACTGAAATAGACTATGTTCCACTGAGCTCTTGCAGGAAGGGATAAGGACGGGGCTGTCATCAGGTAGGACAAGGTATCCAAGAGAGCTCACCCCTTTTGTTTCATGGGGACGGGGCAGAAAAACTGGCTAAGGAGCACATGGCATCTTCTGGGCACACCCACTACCAGCAGAGAGCACACACTCTCACTTTACCCCTCTTGTGGGCCAGCCTTGGAAGATGTGACAAAGGGGTACACACTGAACTAAGAGCCTTCACTTCCCCAGGACACAGACACAATCTACAACACAATGAGAGAGAAAAGCCAACCAAACACTCTAGTGTGAGCAGACTGGTAGGGGCCTGACTTGCAATCAGACCCCCTACTTTGATGGCCTCACCCCTGCTATCCAGTAGGGTCCCTCCTCACAGGCAGCTTTTCAGTTCTCTTAGCTCCTGGGGCCCTCTTACTTCACCCCTCCTACATAAATTTGAGCATCCAGGGAACCTCCTCCTATCCAGCTCTCCCACTCAACCAGCAACTGCACAGACAGTACTGGTGGTGAGCTGAGGCAGCTCTGCTAGCCAGTCATGAAACCGGGGTGGGGGGTGGGCAGGTTGTGGCAGGAGGCTGGGCTGTCTGGAACTTGCCACACTCTTCCAGGAACTCAAGGGCTAGACTAGACCGGTTGTACACAGGGCCTAATAGGCAACAGGAAAGCATCCAGATCCACAAAAACAAGCATGGAAGAGGAGGTCAGCCTCCTCGGCAGGACACAGTCAGATTTTCCTAAGGATTTAGCTTTCAAAGCTGCACATGGTGGTGTATGCCCCATGGGGAGATGGAAGCCGGAGGATCAGAAGCAGGGTGTCATCTGCACCTGGATTACATGACATCCTGTCTTAATAAGCCAATAAATTTAAAGGAGGCTGGGGCTATGATTCGGTTGGCAGCATGCTTGCCCAACATGCATGAAGCTCTGGGTTCCATCACCAGCACTGCATTAACCAGGTGTGGTAGCACGAGCCTTTAATCCTCGGACTGGGGAGGAAGACCCAAGACCAAGTCATCCCCAAGATACACAGCAATTTCAAAGGCAATCTGTGATAGATTGAGTCCCTGCCTTTAAAAAGAAAAAAAAAAAAAAAAAAAAAAAAAAGGCTGGACGTGGTGCACACACCTTTAAACAGCACTTGGGAGGAAGAGGCACAAGGAGGCAGGAGAATTTCTCTGAGTTGAGGCCAGCTAGTCTACATAACAAGCTCCAGGACAGCCAGGTTACAGGGTGAGACCCTGTCTCAAAACAAAACAACAAGAAGTAATTTTTAAAAATCCAGCCTTCAAGGATTCTTGTGAGCTTATTTCTCCCTAACCAAGCAGGAGGGTGGAGTCTCAGTCTGCTCCCCACCTCCAGACAGCGATGGAGAGGGAAGGAAGGCAAAGTTCCCACATCCCACCTCCAGCTCCCAGGGCTTCTCTGCTTCTACAGACACGGGAAGACACTGAAATGGGAAAACTCTGTGCCTGGGGTCCCAACTCCCACAGATGTCTCCTCCTCCTTCCTTCCAGGTAGGTAGGTCCCAGGGCAGAGCCACAAATCTAGTCCTGGAAGTTAGGGAAACGAGAAGCAATGCACTAACCACCACTTGAGTCACAGCCTGTTTGAGGCATCCATAGCACCCAAGCTACATCCCACAACAGGGCTGGGGTGCTCTGAACTCTGAACGACACAGCCTCTCTCTAGGCCTCTCATGATGATAGCCCTAATGACCCCATCAGCACAGCACAGCAGCAAGCTCAGGCCTGCCTGACAAGCCCACACACACATACACACACTCACCCTCAGGCTTACAGCAATCTGCTGCCAGTCAGACTGGAGGGACAAAGGCACCAGGGAAGCACCACAAGGAGCCCCAGGCTCTGTCAGCAGCCTCCTCCCACCATGATTCCCCAGAGATGCACACAAACTGGTTGGTATGGAATCAGCAAAGGGCTCTCTCTTGAGGCCAGGGTTCTAGGCAGCAGGCCCAGCAGGTTTCCCAGAGCCAGCAGAGCTTGCTAACATCCTGCCTGTTCTCGCCCTCAGAGCCTCTCCATCTTCACTCTCCCTGCTCCACACCAAACACATATTCTTTCGGTATCGAGCCTAGCCTTTAACAGCTGAGCCATCCCTACGGCAATCAAGCACACATTCTGAAGGCCATTGCTCCTGCCCTGCCAGTGCGCATGGCATGGGGCAGCAGAAGCACATGTCTTTGTGTGGTCTTCTGTGCAGGCTGTGCCCTGTGAACACCCCTGCACGCTGGAGCCTACCCAGCCAGCCTCCCCCTCCCAAGTAGGGTACAACATATGCTGATTTGTCTCCCTCAGGGCCAAATACTGGGAAGAGAAGTGAGAAGTCCAAGCAGCCCTGTCCCTTCAACCCATGGAAATAAGCTTTAGGGCCCACAGAAACCTCAAGACAACTGGTTGGCCTGCCATTTGATGTCAACCACCAATTTACAATGCTTCTCTCCACCCCCAGCCCTCGCTTTAAAGTATTTTGAGATAGTGTCTCTCTATGGAGCCTAGGTTAGCCTCAAACTCACAGCAATCTTCCCGCCAGGGCCTCCTGGCTGCTGGGATTACAGGAATGTGCCACCATTCCCAGATGCCCTTCTCATCCTTAAAAACCACACCCTGGGGCCATCTCTGGAGAAAGCAGGTTTCACTACTAGCTGGGGCTTCCTTGGGATGAGATGAGCTCTGTGTTCCATACACTAGTTGCAGAGGTGGTAAGTGGCTCTATGAAGGCTGCCCACCAGTCCTCAAAGGTTAAAGCCAGCCTTTGAGACACTATCTGATTTTGGCCAATGATCCCTCCTGCGCTTCGGAAGCTCCTGGCACCTCCTAAGATGTGCCCCAATTTCCAGGAAACCTGTCCAGGAGGTGTGCTTATCCTCTTATCATCAGGACAAATAAGGGGGCACAGAGGGGCCTTCTAAGCTTAAGTAGAGATCCTAGCATCATCTTCCAAGCCAGATCAAGGCTGACAGAGTAACCATTCTGGGAAATATTGCCACAGATGGGACAGGCAATATGCTATTAGCCCGAGGGCACATCAGATGAGCCACTCTTTCTACAACCACCAGACACCTGCCTACCACATCTTGGGAAGGGCTAGGCAGACCCCAAAGTGCTATATTCCATTTACTATAACACCCCTGGCTTTATGTTGCACTAGAATTACCCTCAGTTAAATATATTTTTTGCTTTAGTATTTGATCCCTTTCTGTGTTCAAAGGTTTCTGTGAGAGAAAGGAACAAAAAACAAGGCACCCTGGCACAGGAAGACCTAACATGTGTGGCCTGTCTTAACTCAAGTACAGGACACAGCCATGCCACAGACCAAAACCAATGGCTCAGCAGGTCCTGTGGCCCAGGTGAGGCTCAGTCCCATCCCAACCCCTCTCAGGCTCACATCAGTAGGGATCAAGGGTAACAGCCACATGTCATCAGAGGCACACTGTGTCAGGAGGACCAGGAGGATCATCATGTAGCTACTGAAATCTACAATGTTGCCTCAAGCCTCTCCAAGGAGCACAAATGCCATGCGGAGTCACTAGAGGGCGCCACTGCACTTACTCAAACTTTCAGGATTTGTGACAGTAGCCCCTGGGTATAGGCGACCCAAGCCCCAAGGCCTGTGGGCTGGCTCTCCAGGTTCCAGGTAGAGATCCTCCAGCTGTAAATAGTTACAGCAGTTCTGGTTCTAACCTGCAAGTGCTGCCCTGAGCTGTCTTGTTTCTCAGCTTTCTCCCTAGAACTCTGAACAAGCATTCCAACCAACAACTGCTCCTCTTGGGCCAGCTTTCCCTTCTGCTACAGGCACCCAAGGTTAGAGTGCTGGAGCAGGGGCTTACAGTCCATGAAAGCAGCTCCTCTTGCTTTACCTGGATGCTTGGCCCAAAGCCTGCTGTGAAGCTGCCACCTACAATTGGCCCAAGGCAAGCAGGCAGGGTGCTTAGGTACCCTGGCCTCTCATGAGGCCAGGAAAGAAATCCTCTCTACCTTCTGTCAATCAAAGACCTAAGTTTTCTGGAGCATAAGGAAAAAGGAGATGGAAGGAAACTAGAAGTGAAACTACAGCTGCAAGGTTCAGCCCCTTCCCATCTGCTGGGAAAACAGTTGTAGCGTCTTCACAACTGGCCCCAGCCTTCTATATACCCAGTGAATAGGAGAGGTAGACTTGCTGAGGGGACAAACAACTGGCTCCAAGACACTAGGTGGGACTGCCACCAATGCTGGGCACCAGGACAGACTTCTGGAGTCTTCATGGATAGCCTCTTTAGGGCCCTGCCAAAGAATACAACGGTTGCCCTATCTTGGAATAACATGGGGGTGGGGACCAGAGACCTGGATCAAGAGAGAGAGGACTAGGCACATTCCCAACAGAACAGAGTCACCAGCTCTCCCAAAAGGGCTCAAAAAAACACTAGGCCAGGGCTGGAGAGATGGCTCAGCGGTTAAGAGCACTGGCTGCTCTTCCAAAGGACCTGGGTTCAATTTCCCAGAACCCACACGGCAGCTCACAACTGCCTATAACTCCAGTTCCAAGGAATCTGAACCCTCTCACAGACACACATGCAGGCAAAACACCAAAGCACATAAAAATAAATCAATCTTAAAAAAAAAAAAAAAAAAAAAAAACTAGGCTTTGGTGGGGAGACTTATTTCAAGGGAGTTGCTGTGGTCTCTTTCCAGGCTAGGAAGTCAGTAGGGGGGAAGGGGAAGGATGCAGGAACGACTATTTAACTCTTGTCCCTCAGGGGAACAAGACTCCAGAGCCAAGTGGGCAGCCAGGGAAGTCATCTAGCTTCAGACAGGGTAAGGTGTCTGAAGGCACAGTCTCTAGTCACAAGGCTTCCTTACCTTACGGTGAGAAAGCAAGAGACGGAGGCCAGGAAACCAAGAAGCACACGAATGCCCCCTCCCTTGTTTGTACTACCAACTCAAGCATCAGGGCCTGGGCCCACCTTGGTCCATGGGACCCCCATGGCACTATGTCCTTGCAACTCACCTGTGTCGGTGGACATAGCGTGAGTCTTGGCTCAGGAAGACAGGGTACCCCACCTAACCATGCAAAGCTAGAGCTCAGGCAGCCTGCTCCTTGCTCCTCCCAGCCTCAGGCCCCGGGGGCAAACATCCAACCTCCTCCACACAGAGCAAAAAGTAGCCTTATTAGATATGTACCTGGGCTTCTGAGTTGGCTCCTTGGATTCTCTCAGGCCAAACCAGCTACTCTTGGCCTTTTCCTCTCCGGTGGATGAGTGGTGGGGGGAGGCTCCCAGAGAAGGACTCCCTTTCTCTCCAACTGAGCCACGGCGGCTCAGCCCCTGGTGATGGTGGTGGTAGTGGTGATGGAAAAGCCCCATTCGGGGCTTCCGCTCCTTCTCTGCCATAGCCTCAGAGGATGCCACCATGGGTGTGGCAACCTGGACTGGCTTTCCCTCTGGAGGCCGGGTGCCCTCTTCTGCTCCAGAGCAACTGGCCCCTAAGGCCAGCACTTTGGCCTGAGTGCTCAGTTCCTCCTGTCCAGGCACGGCCTCCGAGCTGCTGGTGCCACGGCTGCCTCTGCCCCAAGAGTCATCTGAGGACCGAGGCCCCTCTTCAGAAGGCCGGGGTGGGACACTGTGTAGGGTGCTTGAGGGTGGGAAGGGGCCTGAGATGGAGCTGCGGTGCCGTATGGGGGGCTGAGGCTCCTCATTGTACACATGGCTCCCATTGACACAGAGGGAAGAGCGGGAGGCACCATCAAGGTGGCCTTGGAGCTCAAGAAGAGCCCGGGGAGGAGCTGCACGTAGCTGGCTGGCCTCATCACTATAGGTCCTCTTGTGAGTGAGCAGCTTGGGGGACTGTGTAGAGTCCCTGCCTGGAAAAGAAATGCGCACTGTGTCAGCATTTGGAAAGAAGATCCCTGCCTCTCTTCCACACCACCTGGGAAGAACCCACCCTTTCTCTTGCTTACCCCCTTCAGTGGACAGCCAGCTGCTGTGGCTTGGTGACTGCGTGAGGAGCTCGGCTCCAGGGCCTTGGTAGACCAGGCTTCCGCTCGTAGAGGACAGGGTGCTGTCAGAGCCCAGTGAGGTATTGGACTGCGTGAGCGAGGACTTGCGTAGCTTGTTGCGGAGAAAGAAACCTTTGGCTTTGCCCATCTTGGCCAGGCTGCCCAGTTCAGGGTCCTCCAGGGCGCTGCTTGGGAGAATAGCTGAGGCAGATTCCAGCTCATACTTCTTCTTGCCCTTGACCTTGTCCTTGAGCTTGCTGAATGGAGACCGGGGCTTGTCCTTCGCGGAAAGGTCGAACATGCTGGCGCTCAGGTTGTTGCGTGTGAACTGGATGGTCACCTGGATCTCACCACGCTCCTTCTCCTGTTTGCCAGGCTTGGAGTGCAGTTGGAACTATCAATATAATTGAGAAACTCCCAGACTTGTCTATAATGGAGAAAACCACATCCTGAGTTAGGAATGCTCCACAGGTACCAATTGAGCAGGGAAGCAGTGACCAGGCCACAGCACGGCCCCACCTAGTGCTTTCCTGGAGCTTACAG